TTCTCTTAATAGGATTGTATGTCATTTACAAAAATAAATGAGGGAGTTGCATAAAAAAATTGTTGTCATGTTCTTTTCTTTCCATAATCTTTAATTTTGTTTAGTTAATTAACAAAAAATCACTCTAATAAATAATCACAGAAGATCATAATTTCCAATTCAAAAAAAGTCGTTGCAAACTTTATTATGATTGTATCCCACCAAACGTGCACCCAAGATTTTAGATTTGTGCCTAATTTTCATTGATTTTCTTTAATTAATGATAGAAATTGATTTTTTTTCTAACTTTAATTGATTTTCTATAATAATAATAGAAATCACATTTTGTAAAAATAAAAGAACACCACAAACAAGAATTTAATATATCCCAAACCGATCTAACCGTGATTGCCTTGATTTTTTTCTTTACTTAATTAATACTTAGTAAGAAATAATCAGTTGATGTTTGTTTATTGCTTATCGTAATTTCTCTTCACATAATAAATCAGTTATTTGTTTCTCAGTGTTTTCTTAGCCTGATTATTTCACCGGTCTGGTCATCAGGTTACCAGGTTCATTGCAAATCACATAATTATTTATTANTACAAACATACTTTCTTTTTACAATATATATAAAAGTAATATAAAAAATAGTGTATATGTAAAATCTTTGATTTTGAATCTCAACTTTAATGATTTATCATAACTGTTTACTACATGATTAAAATAAAAACATAAATATATTTTTAAAAAATTGGTCAATTGGGCTGGCCGTGATAGGTTAATACTCGGGTCGATTGTGTTATGTGTTGACTTAGTCAGCCCCGATTTCAAACCAAAAACATCGTGGACAATTAGGTATTCAATAAGCTGTTTATACATTCTCATTATTACTCACGTGGACCAAATAAAGTTGTACTATATCTTTTAACATTGTATGTTAAACTATTTTTATTTAATGTTCAAATACAATCTCAACCTTGTTTTCTCGAACATCGGATTATGTACTAGTTTAGATAAATCAAGCTCAAGTCTGGATAAGTCAGTCATTTGAACATCCAATATAAGAGAAGGAATCATATTATTGGTTTCGTATTAAAGTTATCACAAGAAAAAGTAACTTAAAGCACAGGAAGACGGAGCTATAGCAGCGATATATTATGAAGCTTATCTGACCGTGTATAAGGTTTTATAAGGGTGCTTTATACTGGAAAAGTTTGACAACTGTAGAACTTGAAAGACATCAAGTATGTTTGAGGCGAACTCTTGCAATTGCTTTATAGTGCAGTAGTAAGACCAGATTGTTCACAATCAAATGCCACAAAATGAAAAATAAAGTAAACAAAACGAGCATGAAACAATTATGCTTAGATGCCCAGAAATATTCTTCAAAAAATATCAGATAACACTTACAAGTTTTCCAATAATTTCATAAGATGGAGAAAGCAATCGAGCAAACAAGCTATTCATCAGCTTCTTGTCAGGGACAGAACAGAAGATCAGGATGATGGCACCAACTACTTCGTCCTCATCCTCCAAGGGTAACCTTCTGCGTTCCAATCCCTAACAGCAGTTTCATTCGACTGTTACTACAACATGAAATAAAATGTCTTTGTGCCCACATGGCAGACTGGTTTGCTAAGCCAGATATAAAAGTACATACACCCTCCAGGGACTTGAAACTTCTATTCAAATAATTTCCTTCTTACAGCTTTCGGTTTTCTAGAGTATAATGGAGTAAAGTTTAATTTCCTGATTTAAAAACTCTTTCTTCTCGTCAATCAGCTGTTAGCCTCACAACATATATAGAGCAGCACAACAGCACCCAACATCATAAAAATCTAATGCATTCATTAAATATCCATAACACTGACCTCCGCTATCCAAATTAAGATTTCCAAATTGGACGGTTCACGCATCATTGGAGTGGATTCTTCACAAAATTTGCGAAATGCATAAGCACAAGCACTTGAACAAAATGGTTGAGGAATACCAGCACCAAAGAATAATCTGAAATAACAGCCAAACACACAAATTATAGAAATTAAAATTAAAGTGCAGGAAAGGATAGCTGAAGAAGCATTTACATCAACAATCTCGTGTTTGTCTCAGAGGCAGACATCCACCTAGCATAGGATCCAACAACCTCTGCAAGGGATTTGTATACCTAGGGAGGACAACATTCAAGATAATATTTATTAGTTAAAGTTGCTTAATGCTGTATTGATGTTGATGTTACTTCAAAACTGGACCTAAGAATAGTCATTATTCCAATTTCTTTGTTCGGCCAATAAAAATGAGAAATTGCCAGTACAAGAACATGAAAGGTTCTAAACAACATACAAGGCACATAAATCCCCTGAGTTCAGCAGGTGTCTTGTTGGACAAAATCATCACCAATTGCATAATAATAGAGTTATCCAAATGATGACCCTCCTTTAGAACAACGTCAGCAACCTAAGAAGAACTCATTGAGAAATGGATGAGTAAGTAAACATCCAAATTAATAAGAATGTAGACCTTTGCTGGAAAATTATGCTGGCAACACAAGAAAATAAAAGTTCTGCAGGGATTTTATTCAATTCACTCACCGCATTAAGCATGAATAACTTGGCTTCTACCATTTTCCAACAAATATCAGTTACAGACAATATCCAATTTCCATGGAAGACCTGGTAAAAGAGAAAGTTAAGGTAGAACAAAACTGAATAGGATCTGGAGAGTCAAAGTGGACTTGCATTTTTTGTTTCATAATTACTAGATAACTCATAACACGAAAGATTCGCAGTAGCATCAACAACGCTAGTTATGAAACTAGTTGAGGGCTATTCATGGTTCCTGGATCTCATGCCTATAATTTGAAAGGGAGCAATAATTCACTTCACCATGCAACCACCGATAATATTCTTGGATAAGCAAATGGATATTATATTAAAATTGATCGTGCCTCATTAATTTAAACCACAACTGACGTTTTCAAAAGGATTTGAGGCAAGTCAAACCCTGGTAATGTTCTTCCTTCAAAACCTCCTTTACTGTGTAGCAGAGAAATTTGAAATGATTGCAGCTTGTGCACATTTTAATTCTGACAAGAGCCAGTCCAACTAAAGGTTTTAATACTGTCCCCAGAAATTTATCGTCGAATCAAGAAAAGTCTTGAGACGGAAAACTGTGATTCCAAAATGATGCATCTGCAGAATAATATAACCAATCAAGTTTATTTCCTATTTCAGACTTCAATGTTTGGTTTCTGGTAGTTTTCAGAGTATCGGGATAAAAAACAAAATTGAATTACATCCCTATCCATCTCTGGTTTACTCTCTACATTTCTGGTACAGCAAACTTGAAGTGAGCATTTTGCTGATAAGAAGTTATAAGAAGAACAACAATGTATGTTAGTTTTGTTACCATCAAAATTTGCTAAAAAGATACTGAAAATTTTGAATGTGCGAGAAGGCAAAAGATTCTCCAATCCGCCATAAGCTTAAAGCGCCCCAAACAGTATGTGACAAGCAGATGAATGAAAAATGAAGGCAGAACACATCATTTGCAGCACTACGAGGTGCTATATCAGAATTTTCAATGGTCAGTTTGAACATTCCAAAGCTACACTAAGTGGCAACTTATATGCAGCATAGCAATGTGCATGCAGGTGTATTTATTCATGAAGGGCTTAACCCCTGTTAAAAGATTTCACTCAACATTTTCAGTCAACAAAAGAATTTAGCCAAGTATATGTTCCAAAATGATGTCTCGTCACCTTCTGAATAAATAAAACAGATCCCAAAAGCTGACAAGTTTCCACCAAAAGTTCAACTAAATTCATCCTAAATTGTTCGAGACCGCTGGGAAAGTCAAGTGTTTTCCCATTATCATTATACGTGGAATCATCAACCTGCAAAAACAATTAAGTATTAAGACATAAAGATGTAATAAAAGACAAATCATAATTTTGAAAAGTAGGGGCAGAGCTGTCCTGTGTATAGTTCACATATTAACAACAGACCTGAACCCGCAACATAAGAGCATCAACCAATGCTGAAAAAATAGGAACAAAGCGGTCCTCCAAATCTTTCCTTTTATCAGCATTATCCACTTCAAGCCCGAGAATGTAACCAGCAAGGCTACACCTAGTACAGAGAAAACAGAAAAATATATATATATATATATATATATATATATATTTAAGGGCTCGGAAATAATGTACACACACTAACTAAAAGGTGAAAAATGAAATCAACATTTTTGCAAGATTTAACTGACAAATAAATAGTGTTAAGTTACCAAAACTGCAAAGTTGAGTCTGCAATCTCCCAATCTTCACTTGGAAATGATACACAACTGCAAAGTGCAACACATACAATAGCTTACTTTTTATTTTATTTATTTTTTTAAAGAAAAGGAGAAAGAAGAAGAAAAACAAAAATAAACTATCAACAATTAAGGATTAACAGATGATGAAAATTTTAAGTGTTGTAAAATGATGAAGAACCTAAGTAACATTGGATTATAAAAGTATTAAAAAACAAGAGATCCACCTCAAAAGGGCATCTGCTAGTGCAAGTGCTTCCATGTTTGCATCCACAATCATAAAGAGTGCCTAGCAGACAAACAGACTGATTATTTGAACTCCAACAGTTTAATGGAAAGTGGTGGTGATAATAATAATAATAATAATAATAATAATAATAATAATAATAATAATAATAATAATAATAATAACTGAAAAAAAATGAATGATATCATTCACATAACAAAGATACAGCACGAGGTGGAAAGTAGCAATCCAATTTTAAATAAATATAGATACTCACTGCTTGTCCAATTTCTGACATCAAGCAGGCAAGCCCTGCTATTACTTTCTCATTTCCACTTTTAAGAGCAGGAAAAAGAAGAACTTCCTTGAGAAAGCCGATTCGGTACAGTAGCAACTGTGGCACACCCTAGGAAAGCAAAAGCAAAAAGTTGCTCAAGCCTCAAACAAAATTCTGATGAGCTCCAGCACCCTTGCACCAGAAAACTACCAAACCTTTTCTCGTTTTGTGTCCTTGAACAAAAGTTGGATCACGAGGAAACTAAACTTATTACTTTCAGCAAGAAAAAATCAGTGACCATAGCTGTTCTGAGATAGAACTGATTCTGACACCAGCTCAAGTAGGGAAAAAATTAAACATTTATTGAAACAAACCATAAAAACACGAGCTAAATGAGGAAAGCATTTAAATCAAAGTTGGATTCATCTTGAATGTCAGCCAATAATTGAAGTTGATGACAGTTTCAGCGGTGAAGATGACAACAGTTTGAATGCACATAAAATCAAAATATAATGTCTTTTAACTACTATGATTAAGATGGACCGGCATACATTCAATTTTTTTCAAGTTTTTTTATTTGTTATTTCAAAAGGACGGTTGTTCAATTACTAAAATTTCCCGGGATTCTATTGTTTTGGAATATGATTTCGACATATAGGTTGGTTGCTTGATTTCACATAATCTGAGCTCTTCTCTATCGTTTTTCATTGCTACTAATAGCCCTCATAGTCCTTATCCCCTCTTCAATAAACTGGTCAATTGGTTCTTGTCAAATTAGCTTTTAGCATGATATTTGGTTTGGAGATACTCCTCTCTTTGATGGTATTTTGTGTGATCAATGGCCAGGAAAATGTCCCAAGTAAAATTCTTCTGCATACACAAAAACTGAAATGGATCAACTGAACGAAGTTGTTTGGCAGAATGACACAACCAATGTGGAGTCCTATTGCTAGTAATTCTAAAGAGATTACAATGTGGAAACTAAGTAACTGCCTGTAGCACCACACAGGACATCCAAAATTTTAACATTTTCACATTCCAATTCTGCTAGAACGAGTTCCTATAAAAGCCGTAACAGTAGGAGGTTGATCCAAAATAGGCTTGCTATTCATTGGAAGTTGCAAACAAGAGATACGTGGGACAATATAACTTCCAACACCCGCCCACACAGCGTACAAACCAAATGGGCCAGGTTCAAAACCCAACATCCCCTCCAAACAAACAAAATCAAGGTGCTATGATACCATGATGAATGGGTGTGGGTAGAACTCATCCCAAAAGGCTAGCTCAAAGGGAGAGGGTGTCCTACCCACACTTATACAAAATAACAGCTGATCGATATGACACAAACATAACTTCTAACAAAATCCATAAAAAAATTACATTAAAAATTTATAGAATAAAATGATATATGCATAATAATTATGTTTATTGAAAAATAAATCATTTTTATATACATATATATGACTATGTTCAATTGATAATTATTTACCCAGTTGGGCAGGTGAGGGTAAATACTGCCCCTCTGCATTGCTGTCAATGAAAAGCACTTGTCTAACCACTAACCCAAATGGAACTTATGACTAGGTTGATAAGGATGCCAATAATACAAAACAACTAAACAATCAAAGTAGGAAATGAAGCCACCTTATAAGTTACTAATGATTTAGATTCCAAATAGGAAATGAAGTCAGGCTATAAGGTAATAAATGAGTTAGATTCTTAAGATACTAGGTAGCACCACTGTTTACACATTAATGCTGGACAAATTTACAAAGTCCTTGGTCTTTGAGAGGATCATGTGATCTCTAGTTTTACACTTTTATCAATATAAGAGAAGACCTGCATGTTTACAACAGCATATCATAGCAGGATTTAAGGTCTAATGACCTAATGGACTCTTGATTAGATTAGCTTGTTTTTTCCTATGATTATACAGATAAAATCTATTATAACAACTGAAAAGTAGGATAATCCATACTAGCATAGGAGTATACCTCATGTCGACTCAGAAGCTCAATCAGAACTTCAACAGCCATATCAAATGAAGATGGAACCTAACAAAATCAAGTAGAAGGACTGAAAATTGTTTTCCTGATCATTCTCAATGAAAGATGAACACTATTCCAAATAGGAAAAACAGTACCTGTAAGGAACTGAAAACAAAGTTGAAAAGTGGATGGGCAGGCAAAGATGCAGGATGAATCTCCAAAAAACACCCAGCTCGAACCTGAAGATAAGAAAAAACAAATTGATGGAAATGAAATAAAACAAGTTGAAGACAAGCAATGAAGTGGAGAAAGCTGCAACAGACAAAAATGTATACAATATGAGACTAATCACGTTTAAATTATTAGCATTACTAAAGGAGTGGTGTTTTCTTTACCCAAAGTTCCATACATATGTTTTGGGAGAAAACAAAGACATCTAATGGTTTAGGAGAATACAATGACATCTATTGGTATTGCAATACTGGCGAGTACCAACAACGCCTGTTTTTGGGCAGACCAAGAGATCACTCTCAGAGCGGAGGTTGACAAAGAATTGTCACATCCCATGTTAGACAACAAACGGCACTAACTGAAACATACCCAGCTTAGCAAGCACCGCAATAATTTCCGGGTCCTGTCATGGGGTTGAACGTGGTGGTCAAAGCCCTCCTCAAATTGCTTCATTAGAAACTCAAGTACCATAGGAGTATGTGTCAGAAGCTGTACTAGCAGAAGTACTTCGGTGTAAGCAGATAGTCAACATCGAAAATACTATTAAAAAGTCGGTAGATATTAGCAGTTGCATCACAGAATGGAAAACCTCTTGTCCATACTCATTGCGGCGAGCAGATGATATACTGCAATTACTATTTCGATCCTCTACAATTTCAGGCAAGACAGTCAGCATTTCCAAAACAGCCGCATTTCCATTACCCTGGCTTTGTAAATTTCGCAGGCTGTAGAAGAGCTGCTCAATGGGCTTTCGATGCTCTACAGCATGTAGGACAAGCGTAGAGATTGCCAGACAGATTTGGGTTAGGAGCTGTTTTGAAAAGAAAAATGGAATTTCAGCAAATGCATTTTGAAGAAGAGCAGCATAACCAAACTTAATTAGGAATCGCATTTGAAGGCACCAGTCACCTGAGAAGGGCCCGAACAAAATCTTTTGGCAGCTAAAAGAAGAGCGTTCAGAAGAGTGTCCTTGGCTGCAGAATGCAAATTATGTCCTTCATTTTCTATCTGCAATTCAATCAAAATAAGACACAAACGCTACAGTGATGAAATAGCAGTGGATAAAAAGAGATGGCGCAGAGAGAGACCTTTCTCTTGAGAATCTGAGCTGAGAAAAACTCAACCTCGTAGCCCGAAGGGAGTAGGTGTTGATGATGGGATGTGAGGATGGAGGTGGCGACTTCCCAAGCGGCATCGGTGTGCTGGAATTGAACAAGCCACTGATTAGCGGCGACGCGATTACAGGACTGCGTGTCGTGGTTGAGGACGTGGACGGCCTGAGCTAGCTGGATGTGAAGCTCCATGGATTTTCAAGTCGCGCAAATTTAAATCCCTCCTGAGCCACAACGCTCCGACGCCTGTACCTTCGTTCCTCCTGCTCGATGGGCAACCATCCCCAGCGCTCTTCACCTTTCCCCGATTTGATATGATCCGATGGCGAATAACAGACCAGCTGTTAACATCCTATTGGTACGGCATACCCTTGGTCCGTTCACGCCTCTTTTTCTTTGGGTGTTACTATTCACCGCCCCCCTTTTACTAGTCACCGCCCCCCTTGGACAATTTTGTCCTTCTCATTTTTTCTAAACATCTCAGAGGAAAAGTGTACGGTGAAATGTCGTCAAATTCGGAGGTACGAAAAAATTTGTGTACGGTCGCCGGTTCCGGACGGTCTAAAAGCCGTCCGGACGCCGGCTCCGGACGGTCCTTAAACCGTCCGGACCGGCCGGCCGGACGACATAAAAACCGGCCGGAAAGCACGGCCGGACGGACCGCTGCCGTCCGAACCGGCCGGCCGGACGGCAAGAAAGCCGTCCGGAAACGACGGCCGGTCGGAACCGGTCCGTCCGGTTCGGCCGGCCGGCCGGAATTTTTT